TATATTCGTTATAATTCACAATAAGTTTCATGTACATTTCTACTAAGTTATAAAATCGTAAAAAAAAAAGAAAAGAGCTTAACCATAATTTATTTTGTATTTTATGAAATAATAATTTAAAACTTTATTATCTAAGTACTCGTACATAAATACTTAATTTTGAAACTTTCAGTTATTTCCCATTTTATAGTTTCTTTTTAATTGTAATGTAAAATGCAAGCTTAATTATTTTTTTATGTATATGTTGAGAAAAGAAATTGTAATTCTGTTGGATGAAGAGATTATTTTTAGTTAACTTAAGTGAAAATTTTTAATTTAATTATTGAAAGATTTATACCAAAAATACTATGTTAAGTTTAATTTTAATTGAAAAAAAAAAAAAAAAACGATGCGTAAGAAAAAAATGTCATTAAAAATTTGCAAACACTTCACAATTTACAAATTTATTTCTTTTATTATTATTAAATTTTTATTTATAGCTAAACAATTACAACAATTATGAAACAACAAAAACAAAAATACTATTGATTTTTATTTTTTTCGGCCTTTTGTTTCTAAAAATGGAATAAAATAAATCGCAATTAAGAATATACTTGATTTCTCGACAGGTTCGACTTACAATATGGCCTTTGGCAATAATCAAAGCAACCGCTGGATGAGAAGCAATGCGAAATAAGCTCTGTCATGCAAAAATTCATTTTTGTAGAAAACATGGATCTCATGATTAAAAATAATTTAAATATGGCTAATAAAATACATATAATTGTTGCAAGAATAACGCTGGCTATGAATTTTATTTTTGAATTATATTTGTATTGCGCCAAAAGCTTGGTATTAAATTCGATACTTTCGGTACCAGTTAAACTTATCGACTAGGTCTAATCATTCGCCTATCGTGCTTATGAACTGCTAAACTGACTGATTCATTCAAGAACGAAATTGTTGACAATATATATTTTGCGATACAATACAATAAAATCATTTGAGATCTCTTAATATAATATAGGGGCTATTAAATATTATTTTCATTCTAGTTTTATTGGCGCTAAAAATGTAGCGTTTTCAAATATCAAGTGTACTTTTGGTATTTTTTTGACAACTGTTTCATATATATCGAACTAGTGAACAAGTTAAACGTGTCGCTTCGTGACTGATTCTGTGAACCCTGCTAGTTAGTTCAAGAACGAACTGTAAAGAGATCTTCAAAAAATAGCGGCTAAAATATAAAAAGTTTGATATTGTCAATTCTAATAAAGATCGCTGGCCAATATGTCAACAACTCAAGCAACGAAGAACTGTATCACGCTCAAAGGCTCAGCCCAAATAATAGTCGAGTACTTAAGTAAGTATAGAAACACCAACAACAAGAGCAACAACGACGCTTATAAAAAAGCGCGATCTAAATGGCGTCCTGCCTTTATTTATTTGCAAAATTAGAATACGGCATCAATTCGATATTATTCCAACGTGGTATTTACCCAGCCGAGAACTTTGATAGCACGCAACAATATGGTTTGACTATACTAATGTCCAAGGATCCGAAGATCACAACATTTTTGCAGAATGTTTTGAAACAAACTGAAGGTTAGCTTAATTAAATTTTATATTTATTTATAACGACTTGAAGCAACAACTGATTATCATTAACCTGTAGAATGGCTTTCGAAGAATATGCTTAACAAAATTTCAATGGTCATTACGAATGCGCATACTAAGGAAGTTCTTGAATGTTGGGACTTTAAGATGCAAGCGGAAGTTGGAGATGGCGATAGCGATGGCAAGGATCCCAGCAAGCAGACTTCATCAAAACAGCTGAGCCGCATACAAAACGAGATTAGAGATGTGATGCGGCAGATATCAGCAACTGTTAGCTATCTACCTTTGCTTGATTGCATTTGCACCTTCGATGTGATGATCCATACCCTACAAAACACTGAGATACCTGCACAGTGGGACGAGACTGGCGCTGTATTTATACAGAACGCACAGGCGGTGCAGTTGCGTTCGTTCTCCACGGGCTTGCACAAGGTTGACACGGTGGTCAATTATAAAATGAGCTCCTAGTGATATGATAAATTTTTAATATTTATTTTGTTTCTATTTACATAAGTTAAGTCACATATTTGCGAATTATATCAAAAGCCAATTATGAAATGGGGCTAATAATTTCAATGGTAGTTGAGCTCCGCATCCTTCTCCTCCTCCGATTTAAATGACATCTAGAGCAGGAGAGAGAAGTTTTAGTAAGAAAACTAAACATATTTAACAAAATATAGGTTAGTAGGACTAAATAGGATTTGGTTGGGATGGACAAGATAACCAACTCTACCTATCCTAAGCAGAACTTAGTCGTCAATTTTTCTAGGAGCTGTCGCTGCCTCTGCTTTCTTTTTAATGTTGTGGCTACGTAGTCTAGTCAGTACCAAAGTATTTCTGGCCAAAGTGGTTGGGCGCCACCGGATGCAGCTCCGAAGTGAGAATCTTCATTTTGGGAAACGCAGTAACCACGGTACGAGCGGCAGCGGGCGTGCAGAACAGATTCGACAATATAATGCATTTCTCTGGCACGCCGTGCTCTCGCAGTACGTTTACAGCCTTCAGTACAGTATTTCCCGTGGACATGATTGGATACATGAGCAGCACCTGGCGACTGCCAATGTCATCGGGAAACCGTGCATAGACGACGCGTGCCTCATGTGTATTGGCATCCGATTCGACCAAGATCTTTCCAATTCGAATCGAGCGACAGCAGTCGCGTAATCCTTGCTCCATGGCCTCGCCGGAGCGTATGATGGACACACCACAGTTGCCGGAGCGATATTTCAGACCCTCATAGATGGCACCCGTTGGAGTTTCGACATCGCAATCCGTGTAGGGCAACTGATTGAGGGATTCCTCTATGACGAGCCGTATTAGCCGGTCTGCATAAAATTTGAAGTCGCTTCGCGTAGTATTTCTGTGTATAATGTAAATATGAATTGTTAATCGAGTTCCAATTTAGATTAACAGATACTTACTTGTCGCGTATAATAGTGAGCAGCTCGGCAACTTGGGAGTTTAATGTAAGCAGTTTTATATTTTCACCATAATCGGCGAGCACTTCTTCGGGAGTGCACGATACGATTGCAGTGCTCTGAATCTGTTCTGGCTCTTGTTCCGTAGATGATCGCTGTTCTTGTTGGTTATCATTTTCACTGCTCTCTTCAGCTTGCGAGCCATTGCTGCTGGGCGATCCGGTGCACATTACTTTTTGACTAAAAATTGCAATTGAAAACTGGAAATCAATTTGCCAGCTTTGTTTTGCTAGCGTGCCAGCATAAGTGTGTCGATGTATCGATTCATCGCAGCGATTATATTCGTATCGAAACAATTTGTTCATAGGCATCGATAACGCTGGTATGATGCTTGTCAATTATCGATAGGAGCAAATAGTGCAATCGCTGTCCCAACTTACCTCGTGTTCTGGCTGCAAACAAAGAAAAAGTGCATTTTAATTGTTATTAAATTACATTTAATTTAATTTCAACATTTCTACGTGAGCGCGCGTGTGGGCTAGCGTGGAGCAGCAACTTACGGGCGCCTCTATATGCGTCTCATGGTCGCGTAAACGTCTCTGTGTGTGCGTGTGCGTGTACGTGCGTGTGTATTGGCATTGTGTGGCTGTGGCATTGGCGCTCCGCTTCTGCTGCTGCTGTTGCTGCTGCTGCGCCTTAGTTTCCATTCATATTCTATTAACTAATAAACAAATAACCTTCGGGGCCGCATCGCATCAGTCCGAGTAAGCCAAAATTAATATCAAATCACAGCATTGACAGGAAAGTGCGTCTCGTCGTTTCCCTTACAGCCGCTGCTCTGGTCTGTTTCCGTATTGTTTGAGCAGCAGCAGAGGCAGCAACAAATTCAATTGAAAAAGTAAAATCAAAAGCAAAAAAGAAAAAAAGTAAAACCATAGTGTTTGGCTGTGTTTGCGCTTGTGTGCGTGCTTGTGTGTGTGTGTGTGCGTGTGCGTGACGACAAACACAACGACAAATGGCGGACGTAAGCGACACAAGTGAACTCTTCGATCTCGAGCTGCACGAGGATGAAAAAGCGCGAGACTCGGACGACGACAGGATCGAGCTAGATGATGTGAGTAACAGAATTAACTACGCAGCACCAGACCACCCACCCTTGTACCCTGCTGTTCTCACCCAACCCCGCTGCCTGCCCGCCCATACAAGTGCTGCACGCACGATTTCTCTCTTTGTTTACCTTCTTCGCTTTGTCTGGGTCCCCTTCCCCCCGCACAAAGAGAAAAACAGAAGGAAATATTTCCTCTGTTTTGGGCACTGAACTCTGCGTCTTATCTGCTGCGCAAAAGTCCACCTCAGATGCCAAGCGCGGCGTCAGCAAAGTTTTCCATATATTCTTTGTGAAATATATTCTTCAGCAATTATCGCTCAATTCGATTGCAACATTGGGCAATCGTATCGCGCTATAACCAAATGTCCTTCAAAAAATAATCAGTATCAATTACTTACGTCCACACACATTGAGACACACTCACACACACATACATACACAAATGCACACAGACTAGTATCAATCGTACCATGTGCAACACCTTTTGTTTTGAATTGGCAGTAGAATGGTCTCATTTTCATAGATTGAGTACGCAAATTCTTGGAAATTATATTCATATTATATATGAATATGTATGTCAGCTGAGCAGGGAAAAACAGTTATCTTTTATTTGTCGAAGATTAGATACTCTAACCTTGTCTTGACTTGACATACTATGAGATAATTCGCCTGGGATCATTCCCAAACAAGCGCTATTAAGTTGTTATATAAAAGGGTTTTCTGGGGTTGTTGTTCATGAAATCTTGATGTCATTAAATAGAGTAAACTTTGATTTGCGTTGCAAAAGAATGTTCATGACTGTGCGTGTTTCATGTCTAAATTTGCCTCTGGGTCTTGAGTCATTCATTCGTTCTTCTTCATTTAAAGCTAAACTCCCACTTGAAAGGGAATGAAAAATCTTATCAGGGTATAAAACAAAATTGGAAAACGAAAAAAGTAAAATAAAACGGCATTGTACTTTGCTGATAAGGCGCAACTAATCAAAAAAACAGAGAAAAGAACGAAAAAAACGGATGGAATCGTGTCGATCGGCCGCGTGTGCAGCTCTATTTATTTTGTATTCATTTTCGTGTCAATTGAAAATGCAATTGGGGAGCTTGGTATATACCCATTGAAAACGTTTTAAAGTGGATATTACAGGCTTCTTAAGTCTTTTTATCAATTCCTGCTCTAACTAGGGTATGTACTAGTCGCCAATGTGTTGCAATATTTGCCTTTTGTACCAAATGTCATAAGTACTTGTAACTGCCGAGTCTGAGCAGGCGCACGCCCTCGAAATGTGGATATTATAAATTATGATTGATTTGTTAATTGAATTTCGGCGCCAGCATTGCGAAGCTTGAACCAGTTGTCGTTTCAGTAAAATGGATTTACTTGCAACACCCGCATATACATACACACATATATCACTTGTAATTATTTGTGTATATATATTTATATATATATAGATTGCATATCATGACGAGTTCCCCTTGCGATTCCAAACTGAGATGCTGCCTAGCAAGTCTCCAAGTCTCGCCCCTAAACGGAGAAACAAACGTCTTGGCAGCATCCGCAGCCGCTGAATAGCCGGCAGAGTATTTGGCATTATTCCGAGTTCTAATTTTAGTTTGTCATTAAAGAGAAAAGGTGTTCGTGTGTGTGGAGAAGTGTCTGGCTTTATATACTCATACATATACATATAGATACAAGCATATTTACTCATGTATACATTGGCGATCTACAGCGAACGCTACGCCCGAGGCTAAAGGGAATTTTTATACGCGCCGTTCTGCGTCGGCGTTGCCGCGATTAACGATTTCTCTGCCCCAAAACACTTTCTCTGAACAAAGAGCGCATCACAATTTGTCTCTGTCATTAAGACACTTCGCCCAGCTCCCGGAAGGCGCTACTTTCCTCAAAGATCATTTACCCAAACCCTAAAAGCTTTAAACTTAACTGAATGTGGATGCTGTTTCTCTTAAGTCTAAGTTGAGAATGATCTCATAGGAGAGTGATCTAATAAGAAACAGACATATTTATTATAGCTTCGAGTGATTGGGAGCAGCGGGCTCTACATATAATTTGAAAGGATCTTCATTTAGTTTATAGATTTAACAGCCTTAACTAGGCAATATTAAATCTCGAATATGAAAATCGGACCAGTTTTAGGTATAACTTCCGTAATTCTCATTTATCTCCGTTTATCTACAGTCTGTGTATCTTAAAACTATTTACATTGGTCATTTACTACTAATCGTTCAAGTTTTTACATGTCTGTGACTCATTTGCATATTGTTGATTCTTCTCTTATCTTCCTTTCTCTCTCTCTTTTTCTCTCTCTGTCTGTTTTGCAGGTCGATCTAGAACCGGAATTGAGCATAAACCTACACCAAGAGTGAGTAATTCGAAAGCTATGTCCGCTGGCGGGGATGGGACTGCGATTTCGATACGCGACGTAATTCTCTTCTGAGAACGACAACCGAGTAAATGTTATTGGCGGAAGGAGGAGGGGGAATACCCATTCCTACAATAGCCATTTCCCAAGTATCGACTGGATGATAATCTGCTTGGGCTGGGCAATGTATTAATTGCCGCACACGCACTCATATTACGATCGGGGCAGAAGGCACACCTGACGCGGCGACAGGCGGCGGCAGCTACTGCGACTGATAACACGGCTAGCTTTGTCATGTGGCAGAAGTGTTTACAACTGGCAATTGACTACCTACGAACAAGCTGTTGTTGGCTCCTCTAATGGGCAATATGCCAGTCGTGCCAGCCCACCAGGCCGCCAGCCAGTCAGCCAGTCAGCGTACAAACACTTGATATGTTGATGGAGTGAGCTGGTAGTTGGCCAAGCTGAGAGGGGGTGGGCACTGCTATGGGATTTGGGGGCGCCAATTGGCGCGTGTTTGCCAACGTTTTTATTTATAGAACGCGTGGGTTGTCCATTTCCCACGCTAGCGGCGATGCACACTAAATCTAAAACACATTTACTAAACTAATCGTGTCTGTAAATTTGCTCCTCTCTCTCTACCTTTCGCCCTCTGTATCTTTATCTACCGCAAAACAGCAATGAAGGCCAGGAAACCATACAGCTCTCCGAGGAGAATGTCAATCCAGGCAAAATTAAATTGGGCCCGAAGGATTTCGAGCTGAAGAAAGTGCTGGGCAAAGGTGGCTACGGCAAAGTATTTCAGGTATGTTGCTGTAAATCCATGCGAAATCTTTTCACACCTCTTCATCTTTCGCTCAACAGGTGCGCAAGACCGCTGGACGTGATGCTAACAAATATTTTGCCATGAAGGTGCTGAAAAAGGCATCCATTGTGACCAATCAAAAGGATACGGCGCACACACGAGCCGAGCGCAACATACTCGAGGCAGTCAAGGTAAGAGGAAGCGCTATTGCTCAGGTATAGCGGCTGAAAAGCTAGCTGCTAGATGTGGAAGCTACATTGAGCATGCTATACAAATTCATTGAACTTGATCTACCTGCACTATTGTTGATTACATTATTTGTTCACCTTGACAGCATCCGTTTATCGTGGAATTGGTATATGCCTTTCAAACAGACGGCAAATTGTATCTGATACTCGAGTATTTGAGTGGCGGGGAATTGTTTATGCATTTGGAACGCGAGGGCATCTTTCTGGAGGACACCACATGGTAAGCGATTGCAAATTGACTCGCTTCTTCGAATTAAATATTAATTAATATGTGCTTGCAGTTTTTATTTGAGTGAAATCATCTTGGCTTTGGGCCATTTACACAATCTGGGCATCATTTATCGAGACTTGAAGCCAGAGAACATTTTGTTGGACGCACAGGGACACGTAAAGCTAACAGATTTTGGCCTGTGCAAGGAGCACATACAAGAGGGTATTGTCACCCACACCTTCTGCGGCACAATTGAGTACATGTGCGTGCACGCCCGTCAATTAATGAACTATTGCCAAGTCTGGGCGTATTTATAACTAAAACCGAAACTCTTTTGCTTAACAGGGCACCCGAAATTTTGACCAGAAGTGGCCATGGCAAAGCCGTCGATTGGTGGTCCCTGGGCGCACTAATGTATGATATGCTCACGGGCGTGGTAGGTGTCATAATAAATTATTTATCATCGCTTAAAACTAAAGTATAATTAAATTCGTATTACAGCCACCGTTTACCGCCGATAACCGCAAGAAAACCATTGAGACCATACTTAAAGCCAAGCTTAATCTGCCAGCCTACCTCACACCCGAAGCCAGAGATCTGGTTCGACGCCTGATGAAGCGTCAGGAGCCGCAACGTCTCGGCAGTGGACCTGAGGATGCTGCAGCAGTGCAGTCACATCCATTCTTCAAGCATGTCAACTGGAACGATGTATTGGCCCGCCGTCTAGAGCCACCAATAAAGCCGCTGCTGGTAAGCCAACGAATCGGCATCAATGCTGAGCAATCGACTGAAAGAGTTTTCTATTCAACCTAAACAGCGAAGTGAGGATGATGTCTCCCAATTTGATACAAGATTCACACGACAAGTTCCCGTGGACTCACCGGATGATACAACGCTCAGCGAAAGTGTCAATTTAATTTTTCAAGTAAGTGTTAATCGAGCCTCGAAATCTTACCTAACACTTTATGTGGGTTTCAGATTATGAATGATTAGGAGATTAATTATAGAGTTGAAAGTAGTTATATAGAAAGCTACGTAAATCTCTTGCGACATTCGAAGATAAGCGTGTTTTATACCATATTCAGAAAACTCATAGAAAACAAAAGCTAATTACGTTTCTCAGGCCATCTTTAATGAATTTGGGAGTAAGAAGCGGGCTGGGACTTTCACAATAAATATTTCTCTAGAGATAATCTTAACACTAGTTGGGCCAACTCAATCAGCGATAGTCGGCGCCGCATTGAAAGTGCGGCTCCTTCAGTGGAATGCCCGTGGGACCGTCGGTGAACTCGCAAAAGTTGAGCCCAATGCGGCGGAAGGGATGACACTTGCTCTTGGGATTGCCCCATTTGCCGCGATAGGTTAGCCAGTCGGGAACCAAAGCGCGACCTTTTTAAAACAGGTTCGATTAGATTAGATACACATTTAAGAGAGGTATTTGACTACATACCATGCGAGCGCAAGTTCTTATAGCTTATGTCGACGGCCTTCCAAGTGTTCCATGGCGTGCCGAAGCCATTGATGTCGTATAGCCGAGCGACCTTAACGAATCGATGCTTCCCGGGCGCCGTCCACAGGCCATGGGAGCCCTTGGCAGCGAACAGTACCGGATGATTATTAAATGTTGTTACAGTTTTGGGAAAATTGGGTCGCTGTAGAATGCCTTTGCGCGTCTCTTGTCGCCGGAACTCAAAGGCGCCCGTCAGATGGCTGTAGCTGTAGTAGGCGCCCGCATCGTGGGCAGAGACATACATGGCCTGTGGCTCGGAGTTGCCATTAAAGTACAATGTCATGTGCTCCCAGTCGCCCACATGGCTGCCAATATCCCGGCGACGTCCCAGGCAGTATCCATAGACAGCTGGAAAGGGAATGTGGCCCAGTGGTCCCAGACTCAGCGTGCACATCGTCTTGCCCTGGCTGTATGGGTAGAACATCCAATAGGTGACATGGAAGCTAGGCAGCTGGCCCTTGATTCTCTTTGTGTTTTGGGGCTGTGAGTCGCCAATGTTGTTGTCCTCCATATTGTCGTCCAGATCACCGCCACCGCTGAATTTCACATTGTCTGCCAGATTGGCTATAAAATTATTCACTGGCAGTCCATTGTCCATCTCGGGCTCTGGCTGCTGCTGCTGTTGTTGCTGTGTCTGGTGCTCTACCATTGGCATCACGGGTAAGGCTTCACCGGTCAACTTGGTCTGCTCCATCAAATCGAAGTCGAGCCTTGGGCCGTAATCCAGCCTGCCAGGTGCCTCTCGCTTCACGCGCTGGAACAGCGGAAATAGACGCGACGAGCGTCGCACCGTCTCATTGCGTTCCTCCAGCGGATCAATGGACACAGGGATGTAGGGACCTCGTGTGCTGGCCAAAGGTTGCATTGGTATTGGTACTGGTACTGGTACTGGCTCTGGCTCYCTTTTGGGCGGAGGTGGACACAACGTGACCACGCCATAAATGGGCACTGGCGCCTCATTGGGATTGCGGCCGTAGATGAAGGACTGCTCGTTCTTCAAGAGGTCCTCCATTTCGCCATTGGTCACCAGGTGCGATTTGGTCGAGTATTCACTGAAGGGCATGCCAGGTGTGAAGCTACTATCCTTGTCCATGGGATGCACATGCTGCAGGAATTCCTCCACGCCCAGCGGCATGAATTTTTCCTCTGGCGCTAGCCACACGATTGGCGCCCACTGCCTGATTAGCCGTTCAACTAGACGTGAGAGTAAAAATCGTAGTGGTAAAAATCGAGATTCATTATAAAAGATAAACACACTTTTAATTAGCTATCTCGCCTGCTCCGGCTATTACTCAACCCAGACTCAACGCGATCGAAACCGGCCATTGCATTCGTGGGCAGCTGCTCCACGGTTAGCTCTAAATTCGTCGTTTTCAAATTCAGGTGTAATAAATTTCACTTTCACACACTTGAAGTGACCACCCAAAAAAACAAAACAACAGAAAAAGAAAAACAACAAAACGTTAACGTACCGACAATTTGTTGCCCTTACCTCCGCCCTCAATCGTAAACCGTGTCGTAGTTAGCTATTGTTATTGTTGTTGTTGTTGTTATTGTGGCTAATTTGCAGTTTAAGCACTTGGCCAAAGACATGGCTGGTGTTCGTTTGCTTGGCTTATTGGCCACTGATTGTTGTGTTCCGTATAACAACACTTTTGGCGGGAGCCCCGCCTGTCGCAGAGGCCCGAAAACTTGGCCTACGGTTATCCAAGTAAATCATGTCGAAAATTTCACTTGAATAGCAAGTAAAACCGCCGAGCTACTGCAGTAATTCTAGTCGACTTCAAGCTCAAGAGCGTAAAACTATGTTTACTTTCTCTATTTTCACATATGCATATTTCTCGCTCATTCGCTGAAACTTGCTGAATTACTCTCACTTGCGCTCGCATTTACCTGCTCAATATCTGAGATGCTTGAAAATCACATAGAGAGGCGGTGTTTACAGTGCAGTATATAGAGAGTCGCATGTAGAATAGAGGGAGGTAAATAGACAGGAATAGAGAATAGCGAAACTTAGTTCAGTTTATCAACTCTTACTACAGAAAAAAGAAAAAAGTTCTTAAATAGCAAATCCTAATTGCAGTTTAATAAAATCATGTCAAAATTATTAATTGTATATTTTATATACCTATGTACATAACCAACCAATGACATGATAAGCTAATCATACTCTCTTAGTAAGGGTATGTGAAGTACGTCCAACAGCTGATCGGCTGCCTTTATGGTTGTTGTTGTTGTTGTTGCTACTGCTAATAGATACCGTATGCATACCTACTTCTTTATCTAATGCCGTTATTTGCGCATATTGCACAGGCTGTTGCTGTTGTTGTTGTTGTTGCTGCTGCTGTTGCTCATAGATGGCGGTGGAAGCTTCGTTGCTGTTTATGTTGTTGCTCATGACGTTGTTGTTGTTGTTATTGTTGTTGCTGCTAGTGCTGCTGTAGTTGCTATCGATGAAAGTGGCAGCGCTGTCAGTTGCATTTAAAAGCATTGTTGTTTTTGCCGTGCTGCTCATTGCAGCAATTGTTGCTGGCAGTTGTTGTTGCTGCTGTAGTTGCAGTTGCTGTTGCTGTGGGGGCATCGCAGCCACCATCAGCAGCAGCAACGAGAGTGAATTGATTTTCAACAGTTTGGACATTTTTTCAAAACAAACAGTCTTCTTATGTATAGTGGTTGTTGTTATTGTTGTTGTTGTTGCTGCTGCTGCGGGCGAACAATGCTGCGCTTTTATTTTAGCAGCAGGCAATAATTTATGGTTGTTGCTGGTGCTTTTGCTGTTTTCACACAATTCAACTGTTTGCCAATTTTGATTACCGATTTCTTGCACATTGTTGTTAGTTGGCAATTGGTTTAGTTTTCGTTTTTGTTTTTCTTTTGTGTCGCTTTTATATGTATTATTTAAAATGATGCAATTTCACAGTTTTAGAGCATATACGCACGCACGTTGTCGCCAGCCCTCGCAGTTTGACAATCACTGTAACAACGTTAACTTTTGCTGCTGCTGCTGCGCTGTTTCCAAAAACGGTTCTTGTCCCAATTCGAAGCACGCGACGCCGACGCTAACGTTGCTGCGCTCTCGCTTTCTGCACGTGCGCCTGCGTCTCGCACTCTCTCTCTCTGGCTATCGTTAACTCAGCTGTTGCTGCTGCTTTAGTTGTTGTTGTAACTGCAATCACTTGAACTGGTTTGATATTTGGGCTCCGGCGCTTTTGTCTCACCGAACCCGATAGCCCTGAAAGGCGAATGATGCGACGAGCTCAGCTCATTTGAGTCCAAGAATTAATGTCAATGTGTTTGCATAGTGAAACTAAACGTGGAGTTTTTTTTATCTTTTATTTGTCTTTCTTGTGCAAATTTCAGCCTAAGCCTTTCTCCAGACGGCACGACAACGCCTTATACAAAAAACTGGCAAGTGTGTAGCAGAGAGAGGGAAGGGAGCTCTATGTTAAACAGTGCGCTTAAAAATGTTGTTGGCTTTTTGGTATAAGACACGAAAGTTGGTTTGAGGTTTGCGTTTGCCACTGCTTCGGCTCCGTCGTCGTGCACTCAGTTCGAGTGTTTCTTTGCGACTGGCCAACGAACATGACGACGAAGTGGCCCTGGCCTCCGACGAAGAGAGTTGCGTTAACAGTTGTTGTTGCTGTTATTTATGCTGCTGCTCTTCTGCTGGCTGCTAATTGCAGCTGCGATGAGAGCAGCCAAAACTGTGCTGTTGTTGTTGGTGCTTCGCTACTTAGCTAGTCAGCTGCTATTTGTTTATAAAATTCGTTACGCTTTGCTTTTCGCTTGTTTTGTGTTTTATTATTGTTTAGGACGGTTTAATTGCTCAGAGTAGTGCAGATAGTGCTGTAACTTTTAAAAGCCGTTTTATATATTACTACAATGAAAAGTAGAGCTCGCTACGCCTCCAATTAGACAGCAGAGAGCAGTTGTGCTCATATCTCTGACCACAGTGGCTCTCAAACGGTAGCTGCTAATTGGAAAATTCTTTCTGCACTTAGAACCCAATTATTGTATTGGTACAAAAACTTTCTCGCGACTCGCCCACAATTTTAGTGGGTCAGCACGCTATAAGGTGATGATGATTAGCTCCCAAATCGAGGTTTTCAATTATATTATTGCGCTCACGTACAGTTTTATTCCAGTCAGTCAGTCAATGCAGCCTCTGTGGCGTGCCGGATGAGTTTACACGCGAGCCGGCGGCATGTTTAATTATTTTATTGCATTTGTGGATTGTTGTTGGCTTGTTTTATTTTGACTTATTATATTTCTTTTGGTTTTTGGCTTTCGTCAAAATTTAATTAGTGTCTCTCACGCTGGCTGCAAACCAAAATTATGCAAAATGTGTTACATAGGCAGTTGGGTCAGTCCACTTTCTTGCATAATTCGTGCTGACCGTATGACTGGGCATTAGTATGCGCCCGGGTAACCCACTGGCAGCCAGGCGTGCTCCCAATTCATTGCCAATCAATCAAGGGGGGAGACAAATAGCGGCAGATAGATAGAGAGAGACAAAATGGCAAATGCAAACATATTTATTGACAGCAACATTTTCTTACTTTTTGCAGGGTTTCACCTACGTTGCGCCATCGATACTGGAGGATATGCATCGGGCTAATCGCATGCCGGCGCGCTCACCAAGACGCATGCTTCGACAGCACCAGCATCCAGACAATAGCTTTCGGCTACAGTTCCCGTCCGCCAATGCGAATGTAGCTCCCAATGTGCCGGCGATGCAGCGATCAACGATATATGCACGAGCCGCCCCACCTCCATATCAGCACCAGCAGCCGCATCCGCATCATATGCAAACATTCGCGCCACGCCCGTCGCCAGCGCAGGACGAGATGATGGATGTGCAGCAGGGACTGCCAATGGTCTAAAGGTTACTACTACATTGACGTACAGATCATGAGGAGGCGGATGAGAAGGACGAGCGGAAATTGTTTTTGTTATGCGAGATTGGCACAGAGAAAAAGAGAGGGAGGGGCAGATTGAGTGGCCCCTATTTGTTTGGATATACATAAATACTAAAGTTAGACACATACACAGATAACATGCATATATACTATATAACTATAACATAACAAATGCTATTGCTATAGCCCACTATATAGAATAACAAAGGATACATATACATATATATACATATATGAGTGTTTATGTATATGTATATAATATGTACATGTGTGTAGATTGTGAGACACTAGAGAGAAAGAGAGAGAGAGAGAGAGTTAGCTAGCTGGAGCGAGTTCCGGATCGTGTATAAATATTTATCAATTACTGATTATGTTTTATGCTAATATAGGTAAAGGTTTACACAATTTAGTTCAAATGTACACTTCAAACTTTTTTGATTTTTTTTTACATACATACATATATACATATATACATGTATACAGGCATACAAAGCATAATAATTATATATATGCAAAAACATATACATTTACATAACGACAACAACAAGAACAACAACTATTACACTTGTTATTATAATTATGTTGTTTAATTGAGCTCCTTTTGAAAATTTCCCGTTTTGAGTTCTATTATTATTTGTCTTAACTATTCTTAAAAATAATGTTTTGTTTAGATTCGAGCTTTAAATTCTTGTTTAGCCATTTAGCATTTTTTTGAAAGAACCTTTGTGTGTTAGAGTAGAGGACAACAACAACAACAGCAGCAGCAAGCAAAGCAAACACAAACACCATACAACAACAACAACAAAACGAAGAACGATAATAATATTAAAATTAATATTAATAAT